TAGCACCGCTGGAGACGCCACAGACAACTTGGACATGAACACCAAATGTAGTGGAAGTCCAGAGAGCTGCTGTGATTCATGCAAATGAAAACATAAAGCTGTACTAAACTAACAGCTGCTGCCTTTGGAGGAAGGACAAAAGCATATGGATAACCACGAGTAGATGGTTTTGTTCGATTGTTAGGCTTCCTGTTCATTTAGCTGCCCGTCTTATTCTTTACGTCCCTGCAGGGCGGTGCTCCTACCCGTCTGTCTGACCTACTCACCTGATGAAGGTAACTGCAAGTCCAATTGCCTTCATCTAAACCCTTTGGATTACTATGACCTGGATGACTGACAACCTCCATCAGCATAATACTTTGATCAGTTAAAATAATACTAGATGAGGCTAGTAAAGGATTTAAGTAAATGAAAAGGCTGGACTCAGATGAGTGATTTTCAGTTTGTTCAGGAGTCCAAACTTCAATAGAAAGATCATCTGAAACAAAAATAATCCAGTTACATCTTAAAACACTAAATCTAAAATCATCTACCTAAATAAAAAGTTTGCTTCAAGATAAACAAGAATATAAAGCGAGAAAACTAAAGGAAGGGTATCATGCTCGAGGCACACATCTGGAAGCTTTTAGGGTCAGACGATTGCTGCATTTCCTAGATCTCCACAGTCCGCTGTTTAAGAATGAAGGCAACCAACAACAGAGATGACACCTGGCACAGGTGATCATCTGTTAATGCAGACAGTTAGTCCAAACCACCAGCCAATAGAAAACAAGCCTGTTTGCATCAGAGCCACAGTCTGTGAGCTTTTACCCAACAACCCAAATCAAAGTTCTTGTACGACACAATCAATCGTAATGTTAGTTCACCAAGGACTCAAGTACACACACACACACACACACACACACACACACACACACACACACACACACACAACAAAAGGCAAAAAAGGGAGAAAGAAATCATCTCACTTGGGTCAGGACCTCTCATCAAGCCATCCAACTCATAACAGTGGTGTGGGAGCAACAACAGGCATTTCTTAGAAAGTTTCCTTTCGTGCTGAATCAACAGTTAGAAACAGGACGAGCTGTTTTAAACACATTTAAACTAGATCTCTTAAAGTTTGAGGGTTTGGTAAGGTTTCGGGTCAGATGTACCCTGAATGGGCCCTGATGGAGGTTTGTGGTTGTGTAAACACTCCTCAGCTGGAGAAGCCAAACAACCAAATCTCAGGAGGGGAAAAATCTAAATTTTTACTTTATTTACAAACTTTGTGTTTAACGCCCGCAGCCACCCAGCAAAGGGACACATCCTCCGAGAACAAGCCTCATGTTGAGGTTTCAGACTGATTAAAACAAGAAAACCAACACGTTTGTTGTGGCAACAAAGCCGGCTGGCGCCAACGTTCGAGTCCGGTTAGGACCTGGTTGACACTCGACATTACCAAAGATGGTGGTGACTAGGAGTTAGACAGATAGAATAAATATAAATATCTTTGACAAAGTGACGAGAGGTTTGCTTTAGCGCCCGACGTCCGTCCCTTCCCGGCTAGCGGAGACACAAACACTCCGGTTACTTCTTCCTCAGCACCAGAGTCCCAGCCAGCTCCACATTTCAGCCCGGCAGCCGTAAACGACACATTCTGGCTACTAGTTCAGAAAATACCTGGACGATGCTAAACGAGGCGAACTGACAAGGTGTGTCATGACAGAAAATTGGTGTTTGCTGTAGCGCCCGCCTACGCCAGCACATAAAAGCAGGTTTCATTTCTCTAATCTAAAGATTAAAAGCCCCGCGGCGACACCAGCACGCTGCCGGTGTCGGGTGTTGTTGAAAACTTACCCTCCAGAAGCCTGGAAATCAACGAGTCCACGTCCAACTCCCCCTCCGCCATTTCTGTTAGGAAGAGCTTTGCCCGCCGCAGTCTACAGCAGGCCGTGAAACCACGCCCACAAACGAAACCCCTCCCATTAATACAACAGGATGCATTCAAGTGGAACTCGGAATTTTGGCTTTCTAGTGACAAGTGACGTTCGAATTTGGGAATCTAGACAGAATTTAACAAACATCGGTTATGCTTGGGTGAATTCATTGTTCCAAATGTAAGAACAAAGCACCGCCTCACGTGTGTGGTGAGAGAGAGATTAAGACACCTCCGATCTTCTATGAATATTCATTCATGTTTTATTCGTTTTTGACGTTTATGACGTTTTTTAGTCATACGAAGCTCTGGTTTCTGATTTAAAGCAAAGTTTCACATTTGGAGCACATTTTTATTAATTTCTGATCAAATCCAACTCGCACATTGTAATTTTTATTCATTCATGTTGTTTTCCCTCATTGGGCAGTTCTTTAAGCACATTTGAACATATTCAGAGAGTGAAGAAATTAGCTGTTTTACTTGTTGTTCAGAATAAACTGACAACGGCTTTATGGCGACAGGCTCTGGTTTATTTTCCTACAGCGCTCTCTACTGGTCAAACTTTCACTTGTTAATATTCATGGTGAACGTTTCGTGTTATTGTTTTTTTCGTGTTTGTTGGTCGTAAACTAATAATAATGAACAAAAACTGCAAGCCTTGCTAATGTGAAAAGGTGGCAGGTGCAGAACCAAGGGGATGGGATCCACACCAAAAAAGATGAACCAACAAAATGTTGGCAGAGACAACGTAGCACATGTTAAATCCTAAAGCATTAAAAAAAACTTTACATTTAACATTAAACAACAACACAAAGTAAGTTATGAATGTTGTAAACAAACAGTTTTAAACTGAGGAAAGTAGAGTGACACCTGATGACCCACAGCAGATGTGGATCCAAGGCCCAGCCAACCACAGGGCTGCCCTCTCCCACATCCTCCACAGCAGAGGAGGTCTGAGGTCACCACCACTCACCTCCTCCCCTGATCCAGCTCCCCACCTCTCTCCCTCCAGGAGCAAGGAAGAGGTGAGGAAAAACCCAACAGAAGTTAACCTCAGAAAGGCATTCAGCCCTGATAGTATCAGGGTTAAAGTACCATTAGTCATCATCGCACACTGGTGAAATTCATCTCCACTTGTGACCCATCCCCGTGGGAACCGGAGAGCTGCAGCTGTGGCTGCACTCAGGAACAATTCACTGGTTTCTCCCCCAACCCAAGCCAAGCCCCTAAAGCTGATTGTCAAGCTTTGTTAAAGTACTCATGTGACCCGACCAGGATTTGAACCCTGATCTCCTGGTGTCAGAGCAGACACCCTACCACTTGGTTGTTGAGAAGCGTGGTCAGATCCTGACCTGATGACTTGGCCGAGATCCTCATCAAGCTCTCCAAACTCTCTCTGACACATGCCACTGTCCCCACATAAATGAAGGCCTCCACTCTCATCCCCGTCCCCAAACACACCTGCCATATGATTACAGACCCACTGCCCTGACCTCTGTGGTCAATAAAGTATTGGAGCAACCAGCTTCCCAGCATATGACTGTCCCCTTCCATCCATACCTGTTTGCCTAAAGGGCCAACTGCTCCACAGAGGACACGAGCACGCTCACACCACACAGCACCGAGCCACCTGGAGAACAAGCAGAGCTAGTAGAGCTCCTCCATGGACAAGCAACTGCTTGGCTTATAATATTATCACCAAACTGTAGGAAGTACACCGCCTACACACACACACGCGTGTGCACACACACACGCGCATAGACACACACACACACAAACACACACACACACACACACACACATCTGCCCTTAGCAGTGGTTCTCAGTAAAGCTGCATTCTGAGCCACCTACTGTACACACACACACACACACACACACACACACACACACACACACACGCAGGCACGGACTCATACACACACACACACACACGCACATGCACGCACGCACACACACACACACACGCACGCACTCATACACATGCACACACACACACACACACACACACACACACACGCACATGCACGCACGCACACACACACACGCACGCACGTACTCATACATGCACGCACGCACTCATACACGCACGCACGCACGCACTCATACACATGCACACACACACACACACACGCACGCACGCACTCATACACACACGCACGCACGCACTCATACACGCACGCACGCACACACACGCACGCACACACACACACGCACTCATACACACACATACGCACATGCACATGCACGCACACACACACACACACACACACACAAACAGGGCGCACACATTTCAAATGCACGTTGTTAAAAGTCCGCTTTCCAGAGGAAAAATGTTTGTGAACACCGTTTAGACTACATTACCCATGATGCACCTCGGTATCTGTACTTCCCGTTGGGAACGTGTTCAGCGCAGTTCAGCACAGCTGAAAGGTGTTGGATGATCAGCGTTTTACTCGTGCGTTCCTGTGTGAGTTACCCTCAGTAGCGGTTTTAGGCACGGGCAGACAGGCAGTAGCGGTTTTAGGCACGGGCAGACAGGGCAGTTGCCCGGGGCGGCATTTTTTCATGACACAAAAGGGGCGCACAAGCGCGGAGTAAAAAAAAAAAAGGAAATCTGCGCCGCACCGAGGTTTTCTATTATCTGTCATATGACAGTGTCTGGATTGGAAACAGCAAGTTGGCGCCCCCTGCAGCTGCAGGCGCTCCTGCTGACTGAGAACGTTCACGTGCTCCGTGTGTCTATGAAGAACAGGAAGGGGAGGGGTGCGGCGGGGGAATTCACCTCTGCGTCTTTCCCAAATGAATGAGCGTGCAGGGGCTGAATCACCTGTATTAACGTGGCTAAAGTCAATCACATCTTAACGTTCTTCCATATTTCATTCATAATATCATAAACACAGGCCTATCATTCTTTCAGGTTTCTCTGAATTGTGTGAAATGGCCGAATAAAAAAAGGAAAAACAAAACGATTTTGTGGTCACCCCCCCATCAAGGTCAAATTGTTTAGTCCTGACTAAAGGAAACTTACTGAGTCAGGAGCCAAACAGAAGAGATGAACATAAAAAGGCTAAAACCACCAGGTGCCCGATTCAGGGGGAAAAAAAGAAAAAAGAGCAGAAAGATAAAGGTATGTAGCTCTCATGATGCATGTTTTCAATTTTTTGAACCAGTTAACTGGGATTTTAACGGTTAAATGCGGTCAACTAATTGCTAACAGAGCTAATAGAGCTGAAATATTTAAACGAATATTCAAATGGTTTGAAAAAAGTCCTTGAATCGTTTTTTACTGATTCAAACTAGGATTTGTTAAATGCTCGCTGCAGCCTGTGGCCTGCCTGAACAACAACAAACATGTTGATCATGTTCACATAATAATAAATGAAACCACTCTACAAGCAGAAGAAAACTCCCCAGTCACCACTAACTATCCTGTTTATTTATTGCAGATGGCTGCACTGATTATTTTTTACATGATTTGTTCTGTAAAAGTTGGCATTTTTGGTAGTCTACAGTTTTTTATGTCAGTTTAAATTACAATTTCAGAGGCAATTCTAAAATATTATGGATCATGAGATCTATTGGAGATCTACCCCAACTTTTGGACTGCTCTGCCAGTCACTGTGGCTCAAGCTGAGAGGAGCTTTTCAAAACTTGATCAAGTCATACCTGAGGTCACCTATGTTTCAGGGGCGGCTCACTAACCTGGCTCTGATTAGTATCAATCACTCAATAGGGGAGCAGATTTCATGTGATGACATTATTGATGATGTTGCATCAAGGTTAGGTTTTAATTTTAGTTTGTGTTTTCTGTTCTAAGTGCAATGCTGTAGTGATTATCTTTAGTTTGTTATGTGTGAAATATTTTTGCTATTTAGAATATTTATTATCTATTATGTTCTTATATTCTTAATATTTAGTTATTGTTTGTTTTTGTATATTTGATTCTATATATTTTGATACAGTATATAATGTATATCGCTTTACATTCTGACAACTTCATAGTAATTAATGTAAATATGTGCAACTTAGAAAAATGAATGTTCAATAGTCGTTCTAATAAAACATGCCTGTTTGTAGAAAACGTGTGTGTTCATGCAGGTGGGGTGGTGTGGTGGTGGTGGTGGTGGTGGTGGTGGTGGTGGGGGGGGGGGGGGGGGGGGTTGGGGGGGGGCGCTCAAAGGGGGCCTCGCCCGGGGAGTAATTCGATGTAGAACCGCCACTGGTTACCCTTGGTGTGCGTGTTTATCATGTGAGTATTATAAGATGAGATTGATGCTTATTTGACTTTATCTGTGAGTTGCTCTGTGTAAATCACTAAGTAAGAAGCTAGTCCTGTTGCTAAGTTGCAGGTTTTGTTGGCCTACTTCAGGCAGCCTTGGTTGCAGCTTATATGGCATTCCATATACGACTCACTGTCAAGTATGGTGGTTGGAGGTGGATAGAACTATTTTCTGTGTTTATTATCTGACCTGTAGAGATACTGTTTGCTAATGCATATACGAACAAGAAATTCATGTATGGTCTTAGGGTGGCATCTAGTGGCCATGAGGTTTATAGCAGATCATATAACTTCATGCTGGAAACCCACAGTGCTGTATAAGCGGTACACTGCTATTCATACTAATGGTTGTTCTTTCTGTTAACAGATTACCACACCCACATACTCCTGCACACTCACACTCCCTTTACCTGCATTCATAGATGGGAATGCAATTGCCTCACCTGTTGATGTCATCTGCTACCTCTTTAATAAAACTACTTGGACTACATCACTGTGGAGTGCCAATCCTTCTGACCGAGGACAACTCAGTTGAAGCGTGATCGGCAATCAGTGCAAACACTCAGTACAAGTGGTCCTTCGAGCCGGATTTGCCTTGGCTGAGTTCATGAGATGGAAAACCCTCAGGATGGAGGTGCATCGAGTAGCCCCCGTCCAAAACGGGAGAGGAAACTCCCGGGATATCTGGTGGACTATGAGCACAACCTAACTGAGCCACCCAACCCATCTAGAGCTCCAAGTAGTTCCAGTAGCTCTGACAATGAAGAGGAA